GGACACAGAATTGTTACTGGGGGAGGGACACAGAATTGTTACTGAGGGACACAGAATTGTTACTCAGGGACACAGAATTGTTACTGAGGGACACAGAATTGTTACTCAGGGACAGACACAGAATTGTTACTGAGGGACAGAATTGTTACTGAGGGACACAGAATTGTTACTCAGGGACAGAATTGTTACTCAGGGACACAGAATTGTTACTCAGGGACACAGAATTGTTACTCAGGGACACAGAATTGTTACTCAGGGACACAGAATTGTTACTCAGGGGACACAGAATTGTTACTGAGGGACACAGAATTGTTACTGAGGGACACAGAATTGTTACTCAGGGACACAGAATTGTTACTGAGGGACACAGAATTGTTACTCAGGGACACAGAATTGTTACTCAGGGACACAGAATTGTTACTCAGGGACACAGAATTGTTACTCAGGGACACAGAATTGTTACTCAGGGACACACACAGAATTACTGAGGGACACAGAATTGTTACTGAGGGACACAGAATTGTTACTGAGGGACACAGAATTGTTACTCAGGGACACAGAATTGTTACTCAGGGGACACAGAATTGTTACTCAGGGACAGACACAGAATTGTTACTCAGGGACACAGAATTGTTACTCAGGGACACAGAATTGTTACTCAGGGACAGGGACACAGAATTGTTACTCAGGGACAGACACAGAATTGTTACTGAGGGACACAGAATTGTTACTGAGGGACACAGAATTGTTACTCAGGGACACACAGAATTGTTACTCAGGGACACAGAATTGTTACTCAGGGACACAGAATTGTTACTCAGGGACACAGAATTGTTACTCAGGGGACACAGAATTGTTACTGAGGGACACAGAATTGTTACTGAGGGACACAGAATTGTTACTCAGGGACACAGAATTGTTACTCGGGACACAGAATTGTTACTCAGGGACACAGAATTGTTACTCAGGGACACAGAATTGTTACTCAGGGACACAGAATTGTTACTCAGGGACACAGAATTGTTACTCAGGGACAGACACAGAATTGTTACTGAGGGACACAGAATTGTTACTGAGGGACACAGAATTGTTACTCAGGGACACAGAATTGTTACTCAGGGGACACAGAATTGTTACTCAGGGACACAGAATTGTTACTCAGGGACACAGAATTGTTACTCAGGGACACAGAATTGTTACTCAGGGACACAGAATTGTTACTCAGGGACACAGAATTGTTACTCAGGGACACTGAGGGACAGAATTGTTACTGAGGGGACACAGAATTGTTACTCAGGGACACAGAATTGTTACTCAGGGACAGACACAGAATTGTTACTGAGGGACACAGAATTGTTACTGAGGGACACAGAATTGTTACTCAGGGACACAGAATTGTTACTCAGGGACAGACACAGAATTGTTACTGAGGGACACAGAATTGTTACTGAGGGACACAGAATTGTTACTCAGGGACACAGAATTGTTACTCAGGGACACAGAATTGTTACTCAGGGACACAGAATTGTTACTCAGGGACACAGAATTGTTACTCAGGGACACAGAATTGTTACTCAGGGACACAGAATCGTTGAATTAAAGAGTATGTCAGACAACACGCAGAGGAGTGGCAGAGGAGGCAATGTTTTAGGAGCGAGCAGACGTGGCAGCAGAGAGGAAGGGGTCGAGGCAGCACTAGTCGCAGCCAGAGGCCAGTGCTCCCGGTGTCATCCAGCGGTCGTGTCTCCACCGACAACCCTGCCGTCATCGATTGGTTGGCTCGGTCGTCTTCCTCTTCCCAGGTCACCTCTGACACCTACAGCCAACGGTCGGGTGGGTACGTCAGACACAACCGTTAGTTGGCATGGCCCGGGAGCAAGCCCACTGAAATCACGTGTCCTCTACCTGCCCCTGTCCTTGGTGTTCCCTCACCAAGCGAAGTATCGCATGCTGTGGGCTCAGCCCCACTGTACAGTGAGGAAGAGCTAACAGAGGGCGGTCAGGAAAGGGGGGAGACATCCGCCTCTTCAGCAGCCAGGCGAAGAAGTACTGGCGAGGAGAGTGGCTCGGTAGCCGGTCTAGAGACAGGTCTGTCTCCTGACCCACACGCAGCCGAGGGGGGGCTAGTAGTGAGGCGGAGACCCTAATTGATGATGATGAGGCTGATCGCACTTGGCAGCCTCGTCGTCATCAGGCTATTGCTTCCGCATCATCAGGAGAAGAGGGTGCCAGCTTGGCAGCGAGCAAAACAGTCGGGTGGGTTGCCCAGGAGGCAGCAGGGTCGCAGCAGTGTCAGTGGAGGCAAACGGCCACGGAGTAGAGCACCAGCTCCACTGCAGCCTACCACCACGGCCAGTAGTGGTGCCGGTGTGCACGGAGGAAGTAGCAGTCAGCCAGTGAGGAGTAGCGGGGGCAAAGTTTCCTACTCGGCGGTGTGGCAATTTTTCGTCAAGCCGCCCGAGGAAGTAAACGTAGCCGTATGTGTCGACTATGTGGCCAGAAAGTCAAGCGTGGCCAGGGGGCCCATGTTGGGACTACAGCGTTGCGTCAGCATATGCAGCGTCGCCATTCGGTGGCCTGGGAAAACCGTGATAAAGATACGGCGGGTTGCCTGCCCCTGCCCCAGCCCCCGCTCCATCACCCGCTCCGTTACTTGCTCCGTCACCCGACGTCAATCGCCCTCTATCAGCCAGTCAAGGCTCCAAACACCTCTGCTGAGGGGAGTTGTCGCTCGTTGGCATCTTCCGCTCGTTCAGATGCTCCTTCTCCTGCTACTCCTCTTCACGGATTCCGTCAGCAGTCTTTCTTGGAATCCGTTTCCAAGAGACAACAGTTTGCGAGCACGCACCCGACGGTGCAAAAGCTGAACGTCCTCCTGTCCAAGTTGCTGGTGCTGCAGTCCCTCCCTTTCCAAGTGGTGGACTCAGCACCTTTCCGAGAAATGATGGCTTGTGCCGCGCCGCGGTGGAGAGTGCCAAGCCGGCATTTCTTCGCCAAAAAGGCAGTGCCAGCCCTGCATTCACATGTAGAAGAGATGGTGGGCCAGTCTTTGAGCATGTCGGTCTCTGCCAAAGTGCACGGCAGCGCCGACGTGTGGAGCTGTAACTACGGTCAGGGACAGTACATGTCATTTACGGCCCACTGGGTGAACGTGGTGCCGGCACAGCCGCACCAGCAACTTGGACAGGTCACGCCGCTTTTGCCTCCACGTTTGCACGTCCTTGGTCCAGCAAAGATGTCCGCCTCTACCACCTCTTCTTCCGCCGTGTCCTCAGCCGCCACCCCCCCGTGCCAAGTCCCATTACCCGACCGGCATATCACATGTGCAGGGCGCAACGGTGTCACGCTGTGCTGCACCTGGTATGCCTTGGCGAACGTAGTCACACAGGGGAGGAACTTCTGAGTGTAATGAACAGAGAAATCGACAGATGGCTGTCTCCGCGCAAACTGAAAATCGGAACCATGTTGACCGACAACGGAAAGAACATGGTGTCTGCTCTGCGTCAAGGAAGGTTGTGCCATGCGCCATGCATGGCTCACGTGTTCAATCTGGTTGTCAAGCGGTTCCTAAAATCCACCATCCCACTGCAAGACATCCTTAAAATGTCACGTAAACTTTGCATGCATTTCAGCCATTCCTACACCGCAAAGCACACCCTCCTTGAGCTGCAGCGGCAGAACGGAATTCCACAGCATCGCCTGATCTGCGACGTTGCAACAAGGTGGAATTCAACCCTACACATGTTAGACCGCCTTTACGAACAGCGAAAGGCCATCACCGATTTCCTGATGTTACAAGCGGATAAAGGTACTCCCCTGTGTAACTTAGATGTCAGCCATTGGCAGCTCATGCGTGACACCTGCCGCTTGCTCAGGCCCTTTGAGGAGGCCACGCTATTCGTGAGTCGGCAGGACTATGGGGATGAACGACGTCATTCCTCTGTTGCACGTCCTGGAACAAATGCTGTTAACAATGGCTGGTCAGGGTGCGGTAGACGTGGCGCACAGATCTCAACGCCACATGACCCCTGTGGGGGCAGGACAGGAAGAAGAGGAGGAGGTAGAGGAGGACATTTGTGCTCAGGAATTATTGAGTGAAATGGGTGGTTTTTCCACTCAGCGGACAGGAGTGGAGGAGCAGGAGCATGGTGGTAGAGGAGGAGGAGGAGACAGAGGACCCAGACGCACCGTGGCAGTATGCTGTGGAGATGGAGGCAGGGAGTCCCTCGCATTCCTTGGCACAAATGGCCCATAGCATGCTCGGTTGCTTGCGTAGCGACAGCCGAATAATAACCATCAGACAGAGGGATGACTTTTGGCTGTCCACCTTGTTGGACCCTCGCTACCGTTCAAAAATGGTGGCCTTTTTCACACCTGCTGAGAGGGAGGCCAAAATAACGTACTATAAAAACCACCTATGTAGTCAGTTGGTCTCTGCCTTTGTGCGCCAACGTCCATCCTCAGACACTGTGGGCCCTGTGCGCTCGCGTTCCGCTGCCATGGCAGCAGGGGAGGGGGTGGGGTGGTAGGAGCAGTGGCAGCTCCACCAGCAGCGGCTGCCTCAGTCTGCAGTCGATGATGAGTAGCTTTCTTCACCAGCGCAGTGAGGAAACTACTAACCAGCCGCAGCAGCAGCAGCAGCTAGCAGCATCAGGTGGACCTGGAGCAGGACCTCAAACAACAGGCTTGGGCCTACTTGGACAGCACCCTGCCAACCGAGGTAGACAATCCCCTTGACTACTGGGCAACGAAACTTGACCTTTGGCCCCCAACTAGCTGAATTTGCCCTTGAAAGGCTGTCATGCCCGGCCAGTAGCGTGGCATCGGAGCGCGTGTTTAGTGCGGCAGGAGGTATTGTAACTCCGCGGAGGACACGACTGTCACCCAAAGTGTGGAGAGACTCACGTTTGTGAAAATGAATCAGGCGTGGATTAGTCTGGATTTCAAACCACCAGTTCCTGACACAACTGACTAAATCCGCCATGAATCATGCCTCAAACATGTGCCACTTTCAGGTCTCCTCACACACTGCTGGTGTGTTCCATTTTTTGTCATAGGGTGCTGGCAGATTACGGGCCTCCCATAGCTGCTGCCAGGCCCCTAATCTGCCATGGGCCCCTATATACCGCCTCCTCATGCTGCTGCCAGGTCCAGAGTCTCTCATGGGTCCCTGTACGGCCTCCCATTGCTGCTGTCTCCATCGCCACACTCTGCCATGTGCCACTTTCAGGTCTCCTCACACTGCTGGTGTGTTGAATTTTTTGACATAGGGTGCTGGCAGATTACGGGCCTCCCATAGCTGCTGCCAGGCCCCTAATCTGCCATGGGCCCCTATATACCGCCTCCTCATGCTGCTGCCAGGTCCAGAGTCTCTCATGGGTCATGGGTACCTGTACGGCCTCCCATTGCTGCTGTCTCCATCGCCACACTCTGCCATGTGCCACTTTCAGGTCTCCTCACACACTGCTGGTGTGTTGAATTTTTTGACATAGGGTGCTGGCAGATTACGGGCCTCCCATAGCTGCTGCCAGGCCCCTAATCTGCCATGGGCCCCTATATACCGCCCTCCTCATGCTGCTGCCAGGTCCAGAGTCTCTCATGGGTCCCTGTACGGCCTCCCATTGCTGCTGTCTCCATCGCCACACTCTGCCATGTGCCACTTTCAGGTCTCCTCACACTGCTGGTGTGTTGAATTTTTTGACATAGGGTGCTGGCAGATTACGGGCCTCCCTATAGCTGCTGCCAGGCCCCTAATCTGCCATGGGCCCCTATATACCGCCTCCTCATGCTGCTGCCAGGTCCAGAGTCTCTCATGGGTCCCTGTACGGCCTCCCATTGCTGCTGTCTCCATCGCCACACTCTGCCATGTGCCACTTTCAGGTCTCCTCACACACTGCTGGTGTGTTGAATTTTTTGACATAGGGTGCTGGCAGATTACGGGCCTCCCATAGCTGCTGCCAGGCCCCTAATCTGCCATGGGCCCCTATATACCGCCTCCTCATGCTGCTGCCAGGTCCAGAGTCTCTGTCATGGGTCCCTGTACGGCCTCCCATTGCTGCTGTCTCCATCGCCACACTCTGCCATGTGCCACTTTCAGGTCTCCTCACACACTGCTGGTGTGTTGAATTTTTTGACATAGGGTGCTGGCAGATTACGGGCCTCCCATAGCTGCTGCCAGGCCCCTAATCTGCCATGGGCCCCTATATACCGCCTCCTCATGCTGCTGCCAGGTCCAGAGTCTCTCATGGGTCCCTGTACGGCCTCCCATTGCTGCTGTCTCCATCGCCACACTCTGCCATGTGCCACTTTCAGGTCTCCTCACACTGCTGGTGTGTTGAATTTTTTGACATAGGGTGCTGGCAGATACGGGCCTCCCATAGCTGCTGCCAGGCCCCTAATCTGCCATGGGCCCCTATATACCGCCTCCTCATGCTGCTGCCAGGTCCAGAGTCTCTCATGGGTCCCTGTACGGCCTCCCATTGCTGCTGTCTCCATCGCCACACTCTGCCATGTGCCACTTTCAGGTCTCCTCACACACTGCTGGTGTGTTGAATTTTTTGACATAGGGTGCTGGCAGATTACGGGCCTCCTATAGCTGCTGCCAGGCCCCTAATCTGCCATGGGCCCCTATATACCGCCTCCTCATGCTGCTGCCAGTCCAGAGTCTGTCATGGGTCCCTGTACGGCCTCCCATTGCTGCTGTCTCCATCGCCACACTCTGCCATGTGCCACTTTCAGGTCTCCTCACACACTGCTGGTGTGTTGAATTTTTTGACATAGGGTGCTGGCAGATTACGGGCCTCCCTATAGCTGCTGCCAGGCCCCTAATCTGCCATGGGCCCCTATATACCGCCTCCTCATGCTGCTCCCAAGTCCAGAGTCTGTCATGGGTCCCTGTACGGCCTCCCATTGCTGCTGTCTCCATCGCCACACTCTGCCATGTGCCACTTTCAGGTCTCCTCACACTGCTGGTGTGTTGAATTTTTTGACATAGGGTGCTGGCAGATTACGGGCCTCCCATAGCTGCTGCCAGGCCCCTAATCTGCCATGGGCCCCTATATACCGCCTCCTCATGCTGCTGCCAAGTCCAGAGTCTGTCATGGGTCCCTGTACGGCCTCCCATTGCTGCTGTCTCCATCGCCACACTCTGCCATGTGCCACTTTCAGGTCTCCTCACACACTGCTGGTGTGTTGAATTTTTTGACATAGGGTGCTGGCAGATTACGGGCCTCCATAGCTGCTGCCAGGCCCCTAATCTGCCATGGGCCCCTATATATACCGCCTCCTCATGCTGCTGCCAGGTCCAGAGTCTGTCATGGGTCCCTGTACGGCCTCCCATTGCTGCTGTCTCCATCGCCGCCACACTCTGCCATGTGCCACTTTCAGGTCTCTCCTCACACTGCTGTGTGTGTTGAATTTTTTGACATAGGGTGCTGGCAGATTACGGGCCTCCCATAGCTGCTGCCAGGCCCCTAATCTGCCATGGGCCCCTATATACCGCCTCCTCCTCATGCTGCTGCCAGGTCCAGAGTCTGTCATGGGTCCCTGTACGGCCTCCCATTGCTGCTGTCTCCATCGCCACACTCTGCCATGTGCCACTTTCAGGTCTCCTCACACTGCTGGTGTGTTGAATTTTTTGACATAGGGTGCTGGCAGATTACGGGCCTCCTATAGCTGCTGCCAGGCCCCTAATCTGCCATGGGCCCCTATATACCGCCTCCTCATGCTGCTGCCAGGTCCAGAGTCTGTCATGGGTCCCTGTACGGCCTCCCATTGCTGCTGTCTCCATCGCCACACTCTGCCATGTGCCACTTTCAGGTCTCCTCACACACTGCTGGTGTGTTGAATTTTTTGACATAGGGTGCTGGCAGATTACGGGCCTCCCATAGCTGCTGCCAGGCCCCTAATCTGCCATAGGCCCCTATATACCGCCTCCTCATGCTGCTGCCAGGTCCAGAGTCTCTCATGGGTCCCTGTACGGCCTCCCATTGCTGCTGTCTCCATCGCCACACTCTGCCATGTGCCACTTTCAGGTCTCCTCACACACTGCTGGTGTGTTCATTTTTTTTGACATAGGGTGCTGGCAGATTACGGGCCTCCCATAGCTGCTGCCAGGCCCCTAATCTGCCATGGGCCCCTATATACCGCCTCCTCATGCTGCTGCCAGGTCCAGAGTCTCTCATGGGTCCCTGTACGGCCTCCCATTGCTGCTGTCTCCATCGCGCCACTCTGCCATGTGCCACTTTCAGGTCTCCTCACACACTGCTGGTGTGTTCATTTTTTGACATAGGGTGCTGGCAGATTACGGGCCTCCATAGCTGCTGCTGCTGCCAGGCCCCTAATCTGCCATAGGCCCCTATATACCGCCTCCTCATGCTGCTGCCAGGTCCAGAGTCTCTCATGGGTCCCTGTACGGCCTCCCATTGCTGCTGTCTCCATCGCGCCACACTCTGCCATGTGCCACTTTCAGGTCTCCTCACACTGCTGGTGTGTTCATTTTTTTTGACATAGGGTGCTGGCAGATTACGGGCCTCCCATAGCTGCTGCCAGGCCCCTAATCTGCCATAGGCCCCCCCTATATACCGCCTCCTCATGCTGCTGCCAGGTCCAGAGTCTCTCATGGGTCCCTGTACGGCCTCCCATTGCTGCTGTCTCCATCGCCACACTCTGCCATGTGCCACTTTCAGGTCTCCTCACACACTGCTGGTGTGTTGAATTTTTTTTTGACATAGGGTGCTGGCAGATTACGGGCCTCCCATAGCTGCTGCCAGGCCCCTAATCTGCCATGGGCCCCTATATACCGCCTCCTCATGCTGCTGCCAGTCCAGAGTCTGTCATGGGTCCCTGTACGGCTCCCATTGCTGCTGTCTCCATCGCCACACTCTGCCATGTGCCACTTTCAGGTCTCCTCACACTGCTGCTGTGTGTTGAATTTTTTTGACATAGGGTGCTGGCAGATTACGGGCCTCCCATTGCTGCTGCCAGGCCCGTAATCTGCCATGGGCCCCCCGTACCGACTCCTCATGCTGTGACGTTGCAACAAGGTGGAATTCAACCCTACATATGTTAGACCGCCTTTACGAACAGCGAAAGGCCATCACCGATTTCCTGATGTTAAAAGCGGATAAAGGTACTGCCTGTGTAACTTAGATGTCAGCCATTGGCAGCTCATGCGTGACACCTGCGCTTGCTCAGGCCCTTTGAGGAGGCCACGCTATTCGTGAGTCGGCAGGACTATGGGGAATCTGCCGACTTTCATTCCTCTGTTGCACGTCCTGGAACAAATGCTGTTAACAATAGGGGCTGGTCAGGGTGCGGTAGAGCGTGGCGCACAGATCTCAACGCCACATGACCCCTGTGGGCAGGACAGGAAGAAGAGGAGGAGGAGGTAGAGGAGGACATTGGTGCTCAGGAATTATTGAGTGAAATGGGTGGTTTTTTCCACTCAGCGGACAGGAGTGGAGGAGCAGGAGCATCTGGTAGAGGAGGAGGAGAGAGGAGACAGAGGACCCAGACGCACCGTGGCAGTATGCTGTGGAGATGGAGGCAGGGAGTCCCTCGCATTCCTTGGCCACAAATGGCCCATAGCATCTCTCGCTTGCTTGCGTAGCGACAGCCGAATAATAACCATCAGACAGAGGGATGACTTTTGGCTGTCCACCTTGTTGGACCCTCGCTACCGTTCACAAAATGGTGGCCTTTTTCACACCTCCTGCTGAGGGAGGCCAAAATAACGTACATAAAAACCACCCTATGTAGTCAGCTGGTCTCTGCCTGTCTGCGCCAACGTCCATCCTCAGACACTGTGGGCCCTGTGCGCTCGCGTTCCGCTGCCATGGCAGCAGGGAGGAGGGGTGGGGTGGTAGGAGCAGTGGCAGCTCCACCAGCAGCGGCTGCCTCAGTCTGCAGTCGATGATGAGTAGCTTTCTTCACCAGCGCAGTGAGGAAACTACTAACCAGCCGCATGCTGCAGCAGCAGTCAGCAGCAGCATCAGGTGGACCTGGAGCAGGACCTCAAACAACAGGCTTAGGCCTACTCTTGGCCCCACCTGCCAACCGAGGTAGACAATCCCCTTGACTACAGGGGCACACGAAACTTGACCTTTGGCCCCAACTAGCTGAATTTGCCCTTGAAAGGCTGGCAGATTACGGGCCCGGCCAGTAGCGTGCATCGCAGCGCGTGTTTAGTGCTGCAGGAGGTATTGCTACTCCGCGGAGGACACGACTGTCCACCCAAAGTGTGGAGAGACTGACGTTTGTGAAAATGAATCAGGCGTGGATAGTCAGTCCCCCTGGATTTCAAACCACCAGTTCCTGACACAACTGACTAAATCCGCCATGAATCATGCCCCAAACATGTGCCACTTTCAGGTCTCCTCACACTGCTGGTGTGTTCCATTTTTTTTGACATAGGGTGCTGGCAGATTACGGGGGCCTCCCATAGCTGCTGCCAGGCCCCTAATCTGCCATGGGCCCCCTATACCGCCTCCTCATGCTGCTGCCAAGTCCCAGAGTCTCTCATGGGTCCCTGTACGGCCTCCCATTGCTGCTGTCTCCATCGCCACACTCTGCCATGTGCCACTTTCAGGGTCTCCTCACACTGCTGGTGTATTCCATTTTTTGACATAGGGTGCTGGCAGATTACGGGCCTCCCATAGCTGCTGCCAGGCCCCTAATCTGCCATGGGCCCCTATACCGCCTCCTCATGCTGCTGCCAGGTCCAGAGTCTCTCATGGGTCCCTGTACGGCCTCCCATTGCTGCTGTCTCCATCGCCACACTCTGCCATGTGCCACTTTCAGGTCTCCTCACACTGCTGGTGTGTTCCATTTTTTGTCATAGGGTGCTGGCAGATTACGGGCCTCCCATAGCTGCTGCCAGGCCCCTAATCTGCCATGGGCCCCTATATACCGCCTCTCCTCATGCTGCTGCCAAGTCCAGAGTCTCTCATGGGTCCCTGTACGGCCTCCCATTGCTGCTGTCTCCATCGCCACACTCTGCCATGTGCCACTTTCAGGTCTCCTCACACTGCTGGTGTGTGTGTTGAATTTTTTGACATAGGGTGCTGGCAGATTACGGGCCTCCCATAGCTGCTGCCAGGCCCCTAATCTGCCATGGGCCCCTATATATATACCGCCTCCTCATGCTGCTGCCAAGTCCAGAGTCTGTCATGGGTCCCTGTACGGCCTCCCATTGCTGCTGTCTCCATCGCCACACTCTGCCATGTGCCACTTTCAGGTCTCCTCACACACTGCTGTGTGTTCAATTTTTTTGACATAGGGTGCTGGCAGATTACGGGCCTCCCATAGCTGCTGCCAGGCCCCTAATCTGCCATAGGCCCCTATATACCGCCTCCTCATGCTGCTGCCAGGTCCAGAGTCTTCATGGGTCCCTGTACGGCCTCCCATTGCTGCTGTCTCCATCGCCACACTCTGCCATGTGCCACTTTCAGGTCTCCTCACACACTGCTGGTGTGTTCAATTTTTTTGACATAGGGTGCTGGCAGATTACGGGCCTCCCATAGCTGCTGCCAGGCCCCTAATCTGCCATAGGCCCCTATATACCGCCTCCTCATGCTGCTGCCAGGTCCAGAGTCTGTCATAGGTCCCTGTACGGCCTCCTTATTGCTGCTGTCTCCATCGCCACACTCTGCCATGTGCCACTTTCAGGTCTCCTCACACACTGCTGGTGTGTTCATTTTTTTGACATAGGGTGCTGGCAGATTACGGGCCTCCCATAGCTGCTGCCAGGCCCCTAATCTGCCATAGGCCCCTATATACCGCCTCCTCATGCTGCTGCCTGCCAGGTCCAGAGTCTCTCATGGGTCCCTGTACGGCCTCCCATTGCTGCTGTCTCCATCGCCACACTCTGCCATGTGCCACTTTCAGGTCTCCTCACACTGCTGGTGTGTTCCATTTTTTGTCATAGGGTGCTGGCAGATTACGGGCCTCCCATAGCTGCTGCCAGGCCCCTAATCTGCCATGGGCCCCTATACCGCCTCCTCATGCTGCTGCCAAGTCCAGAGTCTCTCATGGGTCCCTGTACGGCCTCCCATTGCTGCTGTCTCCATCGCCACACTCTGCCATGTGCCACTTTCAGGTCTCCTCACATTGCTGGTGTGTTCCATTTTTTGTCATAGGGTGCTGGCAGATTACGGGCCTCCCATAGCTGCTGCCAGGCCCCTAATCTGCCATGGGCCCCTATACCGCCTCCTCATG